TTCAACCTTGACTGTGTGTCAACTGGCAAGGCTGTAAGATTTAGTATAAATATTACAAAAGGTTTGGTAACTCTGCTATGTCCTTGAATTCAGGGGAAGGATAGATCAATTTGAGACCATTTTTTTAGGGCTCCGTAACAAATCTCCCTGTACACCCTGCCCCTAAATCAAAACAATCTCTATCCCCTGAGATTTTTTTCTTGTTCTATACGGACAGCCTGGGCTGTCACAGTCCTGAGAAATGAACTCATCTGATTTGTGGATCAGTTTTATTTCTTGTTCTTTCTAAACAAGCAGAGAAACTCCAGTATTTTTATGCTTTTCCTTGAGCAACTTAATTGACTGAAATAATTCCTGTCCCATTTGTATTAAGTATTCCCCATTAGAAAATTCTTTTGTAATCACTATATGTAAAAATACTGATTTTTTTCAAGAAAGTATTTAGTAGGGAGGGAGAAACAGAGGTTGCTATTCAGTGCGTATAGACTTTCAGTGATCTAAGATGAAAAAATTCTAGAGATCTGATGCATAACAATAGCGTATACCTGACAGTATTGCATTGTGCACTCAGAATTTTGTCAGGAGCCTGTATCTCATGTTGTCTGTCGTTTTTCTTTTACCACAATTTAGAAAAGTGTTGAGCAGGAAGCAAGCTCATACTTCAACTTTCTGATTGTGTATTTCTTTAAAAAAATAGAGTTAGGATTTTTCAACTCCAGAATAAGGTGGTTTTTTTTTTTTTCTTTTTAAGTTATTTTAATAAGGCTCCACACCAGTGTGGATCCCAATACAGGGCGTGAACTCACAACCCTGAGATCAAGACCTGAACAGACCAACAGTCAGATGCCCAACTGTCCAGAACGAGTTTTAAAATAAGTGATATTCTCTGCCAAGTCTTCCACTTAATATTTCTTTTTTTTTTTTAAGATTTTTATTTATTAGACAGAGATCACGAGTAGGCAGAGAGGCAGGCAGAGAGAGGGGGAAGCAGGCTCCCCGCTGAGCAGAGAGCCCGATGCAGGGCTCAATCCCAGGACCCTGAGATCATGACCTGAGCCGAAAACAGAGGCCCTAACCCGCTGAGCCACCCAGGTGCCCCTTAATATTTCATTTTAAATTCTGTCTTTTAAAAACTCATTTTTTGTGGGAGTCAGTATTTCAGCGCTAAGAATCTATGGCTGCTTTTTGAGGCGTTTCAATTTTTAAAAACAGTTGTTCAGAGACACCTGCGTGGCTCAGTGGGTTAAAGCCCCTGCCTTCGGCTCAGGTCATGATCTCAGGGTCCTGGGATCGAGCCCCACATCAGGCTCTCTGCTCAGCAGGGAGTCTGCTTCCCTTTCTCTCTCTGCCTGTCTCTCTGCTTGTGATCTCTGTTTGTCAAATAAATAAATAAATACAATCTTTAAAAAAACAACAACCCCTCAGTTGTTCAAAACATTAAAATACTGTGTAAACAAGACATTTTCTCCTTGGATTTCTTTTTTGTAACTTCTTTCCTAGACTGTAAGTTCCGTGACGGCTGCTTGGTCAGGTAACAGACAGGTTGGGCTGCTTTTACAGTCTAATTAATAGTGGCTTCAACAGGACAGAAGCTCATTTCTCTTCTAACATAAAAATCCGAGTTGGCAGTCCATTTGGGAAGGAAGTGGGCATCTCAGCTCCACGGGGTCATCCAAGGTCCCCAGCACTTTGCATCTTGTCACCCAGTTGTCCTTTAGGACGTCTCCTTTTCCACACAGTTGCAGACCACATGAGGGAGCGGAGAGACAGCAAGCAGCTAGGGGCCTATTAATGTCAAGCTCTTTCTGTGAAGAGTCAGACAGCAAATCTCTTAGGCTGTGCGGCTTCCTTTTTATTTTGGTCCCATGTTCACATATGGTTGCTTTATAGTTTATAGGTTGGAGTCGTAACAACTCTTGTTGTATGCGAAATAAGATTTTCTGCTTTTTATTTGATGTTTTGGGGTGAGTTTTGAGGACGGAGAGGAAGAAGAACCTTCACCAGTGGGTTTAAATTTGTTTTACGTTTCATTTTGTTTATTTATTTATTTTTATTTTTTACTTTTGAGGATTTTATTTATTTATTTGTCAGAGAGAGAGAGAGAGAGCACAAGCAGGGGGAATGGCAGGCCCAGCAGGCAGAGGGAGACGCAGACTCCCCGCTGAGCCGGGAGCCTGACGCAGGGCTCAAACCCAGGATCCTGGGATCATGACCTGAGCCAAAGGCAGTTGCTTAGCCGACTGAGCCACCCAGGCACCCCTTATGTTTCATTTTGAAAAACAAAAAACAACAACAAAAAAACCCTTAAAATAATAGTACTTATACCTGTAATTGAACATTTTGTTTTGTCACATTTCTTCCAAGTTTTTTCCCATTTATTTTTTATTATTAAAGTAATCTCTACACCCCACATGGGGCTCCAACTCACAACCCCAAGATCAAGAGTCACACACTCTTCTGAGTGAGCCAGCCAGGCACCCCTCTTTTTTCCTTTTATAACAGCAATCGAATATGGCAGGCACAGCTGTCAGCCCAAGTGCACCCCTCATTTCTACCCCTGGAACTACAGGGCAATAGCTAAGTTTGCAGTCAGATGCTCAACCAACTGAGCCACCCAGGTACCCCTGCTTCCAGTCTCTTTTTATTTTTTATTTTTATTTTTTTTAAAGATTTTATTTATTTATTTGACAGAGAGAGATCACAAGTAGATGGAGAGGCAGGCAGAGAGAGAGAGAGAGAGAGAGAGAGAGAGAGAGAGAAGCAGGCTCCCTGCTGAGCAGAGAGCCCGATGCGGGACTCGATCCCAGGACCCTGAGATCATGACCTGAGCTGAAGGCAGCAGCTTAACCCACTGAGCCACCCAGGCGCCCTCCAGTCTCTTTTTAAAATACAAATACCAATAATCTACACACAATAGAGAACACTGTTTTATATGTTTAGAATGTTCAGCCAGATGGTATCATACTGTTTTATTGTTTTGTAATTTGTTTTTCCACTTAACATTGATTATGAAAACTGTTTTGATAAACACACAGTATCTCTCTCTCTCTCTCTCTTTTTTTTTTAAGACTTTATTTGACACAGAGAGAGAGAGATCACAAGTAGGCAGGGCAGCTGGCAGAGAGAGAGGGGGAAGCAGGCTCCCTGCTGAGCAGAGAGCCTGACTCGGGGCTCGATCCCAGGACCCTGAGATCATGACCTGAGCCGAAGGCAGAGGCTTAACCCACTGAGCCACCCAGGCGCCCCACACAGTCTCTCTTTTTGTTCTTTCTCTTCACTGTTGCATATTATTTCATGGTATGAATACATCACATCGATTTATTCTCTTGGTGTCGACATTATTAAGAATAACGTTTCGGGCACCTGGGTGGCTCAGTGGGTTAAGCCTCTGCCTTCAGCTCAGGTCATGATCTCAGGGTCCTGGGATCGAGTCCCGCATCAGGCGTATCATACTGTTTTATTGTTTTGTAATTTGTTTTTCCACTTAACATTGATTATGAAAACTGTTTTGATAAACACACAGTATCTCTCTCTCTCTCTCTCTTTTTTTTTAAGACTTTATTTGACACAGAGAGAGAGAGATCACAAGTAGGCAGGGCAGCTGGCAGAGAGAGAGGGGGAAGCAGGCTCCCTGCTGAGCAGAGAGCCTGACTCGGGGCTCGATCCCAGGACCCTGAGATCATGACCTGAGCCGAAGGCAGAGGCTTAACCCACTGAGCCACCCAGGCGCCCCACACAGTCTCTCTTTTTGTTCTTTCTCTTCACTGTTGCATATTATTTCATGGTATGAATACATCACATCGATTTATTCTCTTGGTGTCGACATTATTAAGAATAACGTTTCGGGCACCTGGGTGGCTCAGTGGGTTAAGCCTCTGCCTTCAGCTCAGGTCATGATCTCAGGGTCCTGGGATCGAGTCCCGCATCAGGCTTCTCTGCTCAGCAGGGAGCCTGCTTCCCTTCCTCTCTCTGCCTGCCTCTCTGCCTACTTGTGATCTCTCTCTCTCTCTGTCAAATAAATAAATAAAATCTTTAAAAAAAAAAAAGAATAACATGTCACTGGACATCCTTTTATAGGCCTTTTAGGCTTCTGTGTATGAGTTTCTCAAGAAGCAAATGTTCAAGGTTGTCGAATATAGTTTTGTTATTACTGGATACCAACTGGTCAGTCCTGCGAGTTCGGACCAATAGTGCACCAATTCAGCCTCTCCCCAGCGGCGAGTGGAAGTCCCCGCTCTGTGTCAGTATCTGATGTGGATACCCTTTCTGATATTTGCTGGTTTTCTTGAATAATCATTGAATGAAGGCACCATTATATAATGATGATTGGTGGGTTCAGTTTTCAGAATTGGTTGTTTTTAGGTGAACTTAGGAGTGAAGAGTGATAAATCGTGTAACCGGGACTCCTACCAAATATAGTTCACTCTGCATCTGTAATGAGATTACATTCTACTGGTTTTCCTTGCCAATTTTTTTTTCCCCAAGAGTATCATTAGAGCCAAAAATGAAGTTTTAAAGATGCTAGCGTCTTTTCTGGGATGGAGGGGGGAGGTGGGGAGGATACAGTAAAACGCTACCATCTTCTGTACCTGTAGGCCATTTTTACACGGGGTGAACTTAACTTCTGGAACTCTTTTCCCAACTGTTTATCTGAGAATCATTAAATGTGTTGCAAGTGAACTATGAAATGATTAGATGTTAATGTGGCAAAGAAAGTGAGAATTCTCTCTTAGCTCAGAAATAGATGCATTTGGTTTAATATAGTAAGTTGTTAATGCATGACTCTGTGCTTTTGAATTATATGGTTCAAAAGTACTTTTCATTTGTATGGTGTTACTTACATTGAGGTGAATTCCCTAACATTTGATCGGTGTGTCATTATTCGGGGTCCAGCCTTTCTGTCTGCCTGTCTGTCCATCTGTCTTTGGTACAATGCCTCTTTGCTTCTTTTTCCCTTTAAAAAAGTCCATTTCCTCATATATGCAATCTTCACCTTTCAGAAAAGCAAGAGGAAAGGGCATGAATATACAAATATTAAGTATTCTCTAACGGACCAGACAAGTGGAGATCAGAGTCCCCTCCCGCCTTGTACCCCAACACCATCTTGTGCAGAGTAAGTAGTAATGAAGGAAATTCTTTCTATCCGAACACAGTCCTATAGAAAAGCTTAAAAAACCAGCAGGTCTTTGCAGCACATGCCTGTCATTATTGTTACCCTGCTGATTAACAAGTGTGTCAGTGGCTTTCTAAACTAAATTTTAATTTACCTAAACCAAAGGCTGATTGGTACACTAACTATGATTATGTGAGGTTATCAGTCTATCCAGTGGTGGTTCTCTAAGAAGAATCTAATTTTCCTTTTTACGGGGTGGGGATGATTTCTCTTGTTAATGATAGACAACAAAGGTAGGTAATGCCCCTTTGGTTGTTTTAAGACTCTATGCTAAATAAAAGTAAGTAAGTTGACCATTAATGTCTCAACACCATCATGATCTGCTAATTTTCCTGTCAGCAGAGAACAGAAATCTTCTTTGAGCCTTTAAACCAAGAGTCCACGAACTGGAGGCCTCAGGCCAAATTCCGGCCATGCCTGTTTTTGTACAGCTCACGAAAGGTTTTTAAGGTGTTATATTTAAAAAGAAAAAAAAAAAGGCAGCACAGAGAATATTATATGCCAGAGACTGAGACAGAAAAACTTTGCCAACCCCTTGTTTAAGCTAAAATATGTGTTAGGAAAACATTTGTTAAATCGATTATGTGAACGACAGTCTTAAATTATTGTTTTTCTATATATTTTAAGGTAGTCTGTGGCATAACATTTACTTTTTATTTTTGCCCAAGAGTCTTATCTCTGTTTGCTTCTGATGTGGATTTTTAAACCCCTGCTGACTTTAATACTCTATATACACATTTTAGATAGCAAATATGAGGCTTGTATTTACATTTGGCTTCTAGTTAACATTGAAATGAAATTACACAGCAAAAGTATTCTCTCCTCCACGTTGCCTCTTCTGCCCGCTTTTTGCTTTCCCGGTGGACTGATCGGGAAAGTTGATATTTTAAATTGCAGTCTGCTGTCATGTGCCGTGGCGCCAAGCTCATCAGGGCTCAGAGTCCTGGCCAGAGAGCTTTCCCTGAATATTGGCACAGCGCAGGAACTATGACCGCTCCCTTACTTACCCCAGTGGCCTCTCCACGTGACACATTCTCTGCCTCTCCACTCCCATTGTGTTCCTTAGACCTAGGACCCCAAGCCCCTTCTTGTCCCTCTCAGGTTGGCATCTATGGCTGCTGGGTCCTCTGTCCCCCAAGGACTGCTCTGATCTCCATTCTGCTCAGTAGAATGGAGTCTGGCCTCTGGTGCATTGGCCCTCCATCCCCGGGCCCTACACCACCATGAGCTTCACCCTCACTGTTCCCCTTCATGTAGCGGGATTCAGGGTTCCGTGGGTCTGTGGGCCTCACTGACCCTGCTCTTTCCTTCCTTGGACCTTTTGCCTGTTAGGATCCCTCCGCTTGAAATGAATACCGGTCCTTTCTACGTGCTCACATTTTACCCTGCTTGAAGGCCTTATTCAAAGACCTCATCCTATAAGCCTCCTTTGCTCTGCCTGCCAGAAAAATGGCTCGCTTTCCTCCAACCCCAGAGAATACAGAGGCTCAAGACTCTTACTCTACTCTTAGCTTGCTTTTGTATGTTCGTGTCTCACAGCCTGTCCTAGAGCGTTAGCTCCTGGGGCCTGTGTCTGTACCGTCTCGGGTCTCCCAAAGAATGGATTATGTGCTTTATAAATACCGTGCGCGCTTAGCGTAGTCAGCGCTTTTATTCATGTTTTCTTTCTTTTTTTTTTTCTTTTCAGAATGAGAGAAGATAATGCTAGAGTCTATGAAAATGTGGGTCTGATGCAGCAGCAGAAAAGTTTCAGATGAGAACACCCAGCAAGACTTCAGCACAGACACAGGTATTTACATGGACGTGCTCCCGGTGGTTTATGTCATTGGTGGGTTTTTTTTTTTTTTTAAAGATTTTATTTATTTATTGGACAGAGAGAGAGATCACAAGTAGGCAGAGAGGCAGGCAGAGAGAGAGGAGGAAGCAGGCTCCCCGCTGAGCAGAGAGCCCGATGCGGGGCTCGATCCCAGCACCCTGGGATCATGTCTGAGCCGAAGGCAGAGGCTTTAACCCACTGAGCCACCCAGGCGCCCCTCATTGGTGGGGTTTTTAACAGGCAGATAATTTGTGAATGTTCTAGCGAGGGGCACCACAACGAAGTTTTACAAACCAGCCTCTTTTTTCTCTTCCTAAGCTCCTTTTTCCTAAGCTGGATTTATTTTTGAGTTCATTAAGGATTGAAACATAATTCGGAATTAATTCTGTGAGGGGCAGAGAGACGGTTGATGTGGGTGAGGAAGGGCAGGGGTCACTGTACCTTCCATTTGTATTAGAGTCAGTTGACCCAAGCTGTGCGGGGAGACAGTCTTTGGGGGCCCGGGAAGCAGGGCAACAGCTCTGGAGGGTCGGCGTCAGGATGCCCGAGTTCTCATCCGCTTTGGCCCCTGACTGGCTGTGTGACCGGGCTTTGGCCTCCCCGGGCCTGCACCCCTCTCACCTCCACATCCCTTCCAGCACTGTCTCTGGGATCTCCTCTCCCTTGTACGTCTCCTCCCTCAGTCACCTCTATAGATAGCCACCCAGGTTGTGAGGGATGTTGGAAACTCATAGTTTCAATGTTGCAAGTTGAAATTCCCATCTCAATGGGTAGTACATTTAAAAGATTTCAATGCGCTTGAAAATGGTTTAATGCCTTGAGAAACTTTTAGATGTGTGCTCCTTAAAAATTCTAGCTTATTTCTTCCCCAGATGTGGACCTTTACCCTCTCCCTGAAAAGATCAAGAACAGATGAAAGAAAGTACATGCGAAGAATGAATTTGAATTTGGAAGGCTTGTGTTGTGGTTGACTACCTTTGGATAAGCAAAATTCAGAACCATTTAAAGACCACTATATTCTAACTCGACAATACCTGATTACCAATTACTCATTTCCTCAGATAAGAAGAAATCATCTCTACAATGTAGACAGTGTTATATTTTATAGAATTTTATTTTAAATTGAGGAAGCCGTTAATTGTGCTCTATATTTTAATGATGATGGTGATTCAGATTCTACTTATTGGCATTTTCTTTTCTTTTTATGACGTTAAAAATTCAATTATTTTTCTCTTCTTGAGGGATGACAGGGCTTTTATAAGAGGAAAAACGTTTTGGAAAAGGTGACAACATCCTGTGGCAGTGAGAACAGTTTCATTTATCATTGCTTATCCAGTAGTGGGTAATTCATTTGATGGCCTCTTTTTTTGGCTAAATGATAATTAAGCCAGTGGCCCCAGACTATCAGAAGTTGACTATCTACCTTTGCATTGCCATTAAAAAATCATGGGAAAAAAGAATCATGGAAACTTGGGAGAAAAGATGTGTTTTCTTCTTAGCAGATGACCAGGCTGAGAAGGATGTGGTGGGAAAATGTTTGTCACGTTTTCTTTTCATTTGAGTCATTGTCTCGTATTTAGGGGGGGGAAAAAAAGCGCATGTGTGGATAACCAACCAGTGTCGTGGTTATCAATTGTTGGTGACAAACCACCCCCAAACGCAGCGGTTGAAACAATACTTCTCTTGTTTGCCTCCTCCCTGTTCTTCAGTCTGGGCTGGGCTCCGCTGAGCTGTTCCTGTCCTCTCACTGGTGTTGCCCGTGTGGTCAGGGGTGGGTGGGCTTCTCTCTGCAGGTGCCCGGCCTTTCCTTCTGCGTGCGATGGCTCCAAGTGGCCTCGCCAGTAGGGTAGCTGGCCGCCTACATGGCCACCCAGAACTTCCACTGCCCTCTCGTGATTAAAGCATCCCAGGGCCAGCCCAGATTCGGGAAGGGGGATGGCACCAGGGCATGGAGTGGAGAGGTGTGATCCACGGGGGGCCCCCGGAGTAATGGGCTGTCAGAAGCAGTGCCACACGAGAACAGCAATGGTTAGAAGGAGAAGCTGCTCATGACCTTGGGAAGTGGAAGCTGCTTGCGATTGCTGGTGTAAGCTGGAAGTCAGACTGACAAATAGAGGGCCTTCTAGAAGCTTCCACATGTGCTGGCTCTGAGCATATTTTCTGAACCAGCACTTTGGGAAACTGGTCCCTAAGGAGGGCTGTGTTGAGGGGGCAGGGCATCTGAACGCAGAACCACCCCACCCCGAGGCTCCGGCGGAGGGCGGCGCAGGCGGCGCAGGCGGTGCTTCCTCCCCGCGCGCGGGTTCATTCCGACGTCGCCGCCCCTCTGACTGAATTAGCAGTGGCTCATTTTTGTTCTAGTCAAGCAGTAGGATTTGCTACCGTTCTACCTGAAGTGCCTTCTCCAAAGACATCCTCTTTGCCCTGTGTGTGGAATCATCCTTCGGTGAGTGTGTTTCAGTGAAAGAATCACTGGTTGACTTTGTAAAGACGGTAAAGTGCCATGGCGGCTTGGCCATTAGGTTACGGTCTCCTTGCGCAGTCTTCTTGCTTTGGCTCCCGACCGGTCCAGCCCCTCAAGTGCTTCGGTTCTGAGGTCTTTAACTCCCGTGAAGTCTTGAGGTAGTTTGGGAACTGCCTCCGCCGCCATTTTCACAGACAAAATGCACATTGACGCCCCCCCCCAACACCCCCCCCCAACCCAGTGAACCTAGAATGGCTTTAGAACACTGGTGTGGCCCAAAGGTAATCACCTTCTAAGGGGAATGTCAGTGACTACTGTCTTCTTGTCAAGCCTGTAAAGCAAGAGATTCCAGTTCAGTATTTGCAACAAGGGTCTTGAATCCTACTCCTTTTATTGCATTGTCGCCTTGAATTCTCCTCCTTTGCCTTGATTTTGTGCTATAGTTGAGACTCTGGACTTTGAGGGCAAAGTCTTTCACCAGCATACAAGGGTTCGATTGTACAAATTTACCTGCTGCATTAATGTCTCTGCCTGTAGCTTAAGATGGAGTTGTTCCGTGCTCGGAACAGAATCGCCTGATCTAGGCTAGCTTTGCTTGTTACAGGACATTGATTTTATTTAGATTTCCCTCCACGAAGTCAGCCAGCTATCATGTTATGTAAACCTCTGCCAAGACAAGATTGTCATAGCCCCTAGGTTGCTCAGGTTTGTCATGTGTCCGGTGAAAAGGGGATTGCAGGTTCTCAGATGAGATTCCTCTCCACGAGATGGAATCGGGGAGAGGGGCGATGAAAATGTGGGGAGCTGGAGGTGCAGGTGTTAAAAGTTATGGAAATGGAAGTTCCAAAGAGGTGCTTTGTGAGGAGGTCAGAGGTGTGGGGCCTGCGCGGTCAGAACTTGAATAGGTTGATCAGGTTACCTGGCAAGTAGGTGTGATAGATACAGGGATGAAGTCTGCTCCTGGATTGCTGGTAGACATTAAATTTGCACAATATCCTGTAGCTGGTTGAGTATTTTAAAATGATATTCATAGGGTTTTTGTATTTGGGGTGAAGAAATTATCTGACACATGGTATTGGGGTTTCTTTTTTAAAAAAGCCAAATTTCAGAGTCCTAAGAGCTTTTTAAAAAAAATATATATATATAAAGACACCTCACCTCCAGTGGGTGACCCTCCTGAAAATCATGGTCGTCTCTCCCATTGAATCAGTGACTTTTCAGAGGTGGCAAAATGGGCATGAGAAAATTGCCGTCCGACTTTCTTGGTGTTTGTACATTCTTTATGGAGCCCAGTTGCTTTGGAACAGCCAAGAAGATTATCAAGGTTATTTTTAGGGGTACCTTTACTGGGGATCTGAAGAACTAATATAACATCCTGGGTTATTTCTAGTTTGGGGGAATGTGGAAAGGTATGCAATTGTGAAGTGTTTTGTTGTAGTTTATTAATCCATGAGGGGAACTTAGACTGTAGACATAAGGACACACCCAGTGCAGTTTCTGTTTTCTGTATGTTGTTGGGGGAATAAAGTTTTATATAGCAAGCACATGGCCTCCCTGATTTCATAATGCCTTTATTAGAATCTGTAATAGCCCTTAATGTTGTTGAAACCTTTCTCCCTCTTCCTCCTGAAAATACAGTTTATTGTTTCTTCTATCATTGAAAAGTTTGTTCTTTTTTCACTATGGGCAGTTCACACAAGGCAAAAATATTAAACAGTTGGTTTTAGTGTGTTGTATGACTTTACTGTATATCAAACTAATTTTTACAAGTTTTCATCCTAAACCTCAAATCATGTAATTAATAATTTGCCTGTTTATTTATGACATAATTGTGATTCTTTTATTAATAAAAGCTAATGGAAAAGGATCCTTTATTAAGCTGATGACTAGCCTACATTTAATTTTCCTGCAGTATATGAAGTATTGTACCAGAGTATTAAAAGATATGTAATATTTTATTGATAAATCTGTCCTTTAAAAGGAATACGTTTTAGGATGTCATCATTTTGATGTGAATCATGTAAATGTTGATAATATGCACTGTTTATTATACATTTAGTGTTTCGAGAGATTCACTTAATTGCCTTTTTGCCCATGTATTATGTAGTCTGTTTGCAATTGTTTTTTTAAAAAAATGACATGAAAGGAATAGTTTATGTAGAGAAACATTAGTGGATGTTAATTGTCTCCCCACCTGTATTTATGGGTGTTAGTTCAGTTGCATTGCTAGTTGCAAAGCCGTATTATCAGAGTAAACGTGTATTTGTAAACTGTATGGGAGCTAAAAATTAGGAATAAAACCATTTTCTTATTTTATGGTATTAGTCATTTACTTCATTGGAAATGTCCAGGAAAAACCGGGATGATAGGTCACTCAACCTCTTCCACTAGCCAAATGCTGACATTTAGCAGCTCTTACCTGGAAGGTAACTGGGAGTACAGAATATATGAGTCAGTTCCTCAGGCATTCATTCAGTGCCCACTCTGACTAGCTTCGGGAGACAGGCAGGGGATGCCATTTGCAAGAACTTAGGAGTAAGTAACGAATAGAAAGTATGTCTATAAAATATACAGGAAACGATCAGGAAGCATACAAACAATGTAAATGGTACCTGATAGAAGAGGCTCGTAAATTGTGTACCACAGGACACTGTCTCATCCCTTTAGGTTTAGGCGACAAGTAAACAAGGCCATTTGCTGCTTCTGACAGCGCCACATGAACTTTGGCAGAAAGAAACCATTTTATAAGGAACACAACGGGTAGTTCTCAGTTCTCATTGTAAATCTAAGAAGAGATTCATATTACTTATTTACACTGTGAAATATTATTGTCCTCTCGGTCTCGGCCGAGTTACTCAACACGTATCCGTCAGGTTTAGCTGGTTTCACCAGTGAGACCAGACCTCTAGCCATTCAAAATAGGGAGCCCCTGGGCAATGCCAGATGATGCCCCTGTGCTAGACTCGGGCCAAGCGGTGACTGGCACAGACATGGTGGCCACCCTCCCAGGGGTGACGTCCTAGTGGGAGCTGGGCACAGGTCAGAAGGCAGAGATTCCCACTGGGATGCAGAAAGTGCTTGAAGATGGGGGCTGCTCAGACACAGCAGGAAAGGCAGAGATCAGACAACCACTTCCAAATGATGAGGATTATGAGGAGGGGCTCCGTTGTCTCTCCCAGGGGCACGTAACCTTCCACAGATGGAGGGCCTCTGTGCTGCTGTGCTGGTGACCCTCTGGGGTTCCAGAGACGGAGCTGGGTGCGCCGCCAGCCTGGAGATGCCTCATTCCCCATAATCCTTTTTGAGATCCTGGGCCGTACATGCTTGAGAAGGCATCGGCAATATCTTTTCTTTACGTGTTGTGAAAGAGCCTTCCAGTTCTACACACAAGGAACGTTCTTCGTTCCTAAGCACAAGGAAAGCCCCAAGAAAATGTGCAGATTAGAGACAAAGCGGGAATTCCCGTAACCAATCAATTGTGAATGGAGAACTGAGGGTTGGATGGACTCGGTCATCTTGTCAGTGAAAAAGCTTCTGAAGAAAGTCCCTACTCATTGTTGGGCACCGCTACATGTATGCTTTGCATGCAGCCATTCGCTTTGGCTCTGGAGAGGCCACACAAAGGGACCGTCAGGACCTCGAGTGAATGGCTTCACTGCAGGTGCCATTTCCCGCCCAGGAGCTGGCGATGCTTCCAAAGAACTAAATTTGCAAAATGATAATGAGTCCAAAATAGAGATTTGCTGTTTTATCAATAGCAGCAGTTACCAACAAGTTGATACTCATGTCATTTGAGGTCAGACAATTGAGAAATCCTGAAGTGACATCATGATATAAAATACCACTTCTAAAATGAAGGTTGTGAGAAAGTGATACTGCCCGATAAAGCCTGCTGGCAGCGTATGCACAAAGGGATTGCAGACTCGAAGTCCTCGCTGCCTGATAAGACTGTGGTTATACTGGACTGGCAGGGATTTGGGCTTCAGATTCTCTTCCATTCAGCAGAGATGAAACCCACACTCCAAGGGGCTAGTCACCGAGGAATGGATGAACAGAACTGTTCCTACTTTCGAGGTGCTGGGTCTAATTGGAGGGAGGCAGATAGTTCTAATTGGACTGGAGTAGACAGTGTCCAGGTTGTTAATGTCAAGTGAAAGTTACAGAGGAGTGGATTAGAGGGGAATTAGAATTCAGTGGTGGAGGTCACTGGAGCTTCCTCCTGACCAGTGGGGAAACCTGTGTGTGTGTGTGTGTGTGTATCTTTCTAAAAATGAACTTGCAAGCAATAGCTGTTTCTCTGTTCAACTCTTGCATCTCCATCACTGAACAAAGGAGAATAATTCTCTGTATTGTGATTCATATGAATGGCCTTTCTAGCACTTTTGGGACACATTTTTGCAACAAAATGGAGTACATATTTACATGTTTTAGTGTTTCCATTCTCTGTGTATCTATCCACTGCATTTTTAACTGTTCAGTTCTTGATGTCTAAATTCACTATTTTCGGTACTCTAGGCCAGTTTTGCTGGGGCTTCCTCGTATAATCGAGAGTGTACATTATGGTTTGGAATGAGCCATTTCACTCTGTAATCATCACCAACATCACATTTTTTAAGGGAGAAATCAAATTCATGTCGTTGGGGCAAAAGATTTTTTTCCCCTGCATTGCGTTTTTGTAGACTCTCACAAAGCAAAGTTAAATCGTCATTTAGTTAGGGCGCCTGGCTGGCTCAGTCCAAGGAGCAGGTGACTCTTGATTTCAGGGTTGTGAGCTTGAGCCCCATGTTGGGTGTGGAGATAAATAAATAAAAAACTTTTAAAAATTGCAGTTTAGCTTTACAATTAACAAAGTTCCTTTATTAAGAATGATGACATTATATTCAAGCAGGACTATTCATGGAGAATTCAGCTGGTCTGAGCCCCTGAGTTTCATCAGTGTGGCTGAGTCTTGGAAATGATGGCATTTGAATGTGGCCTCATGATTCAGTCTCATGTGCTTGTTTTGTTTTCAAACTAACTCTATCATAGTAAAATACACAAAACATAAAATTGACCATTTTAACCATCTTTGAGTGGACAGTGCAGCGGCCTCACATGCATTCACACTGTTGTATGACAGTGACCACCGTCCATCTCCAGAAGCTTATCATTGTCCCAACCGAAACTCTGCACCCATTCGCCAACATGGCTTTGTTTTTATAGGGTTCCCCTCCTGAGGCTTAGGGCCCTTCTGAATTTTGGAATTTTGTGTATTTTTGAATCGGTAATACATTCACTTAGAACAAAATGTAAAAGGTTCAGTAGAGGGGTGCCTGGGTGGCTCAGTGGGTTAAAGCCTCTGCCTTCGGCTCAGGGCATGATCCCAGGGTCCTGGGATTGAGCCCCGCATTGGACACTCTGCTCAGTGGGGAGCCTGCTTCCCCCTCTCTCCGCCTACTTGTGATCTCTCTCTGTCAAATAAGTAAATAAAATCTTAAAAAAAAAAAAAAAAGGTTCTGTAGAGCACCCAGGGAAGTAGCCCTCCACGCCTTTCTCCCACAGAGAGTTTCCCATCATACCCCAAGGACAGTGAGCAACTTTGAACACATGTCCTACCGTAAGTGCTGGTTCCAGGGGATCTTACACTTCTTACTAGGATAGGTAATGCTGAATTGTCCTCTAGTGAGGCTGAATCTGCTTTATCCCTAGCAGCCCGTTGCTTCACACTTTCATCTGCTTGGCATTTGTCAAACCTGCACCTTGATGCCCTGTGGGTAAAAAAATCATAGCTCGATGTAACTCTGATTGCATTTCTCACGAAAGTGAGGCTGAGCATTTTTATGCCTTCCTGTGAACTCTTCATTTCACTTGACTTTTTAAAAAAAAAGATTTTATTTATTTATTTGACACAGAGAGAGAGAGAGAGAGAGAGAGAGAGAGAGATCACAAGGAGGCAGAGAGGCAGGCAGAGAGAGGGGGGAAGCAGGCTCCCCGCTGAGCAGAGAGCCCTGCATCGGGCTCTCTGCTCAGCGGG